ACTTCCCACAGCATCTGCTCATGGCAAATGTAGTTTTTTAAACTCATCTTGAAATAAGTCAGAATTAACATTTTTGAAAATGTCAGTGATATAAATTTTGTGGCTAAATTGCCTAATTAAATATACATTTTTAATTTTAAGAATAAATGAACAATTTTTTTTTTTCTTTTGTCCAATACATTTCTTCACAACTGTACTGTTTATCTGCTGTGTTTAAAAACCAGTAGTGTTTGTTTGTTTCAAAGTGTTCTGAAAGGAATCCATCCTGAAAGGTCCATGGTTAACTATATCTTCCTTTAAATTATTTAGCTGCATCATTTCCATTGCATATTTACTGATGTAAGAATTTTGGCTTCCTGTCCCCATTAAAACAGTATTGCCGCTTTTTCTATGGATGTGTATTACTAGCATTTGTAAATACACTTAAGTAAAACTACATTGATTTGCTAATGCATTCTGTACTGTTGTCATTCTGTGAAGTCCACTTGGTTCACTCCTGTGTGAAAACTGTAAAAATTGTAACTGCACAGAAGAAGGGCTAAAAGCACCCTTTGTTAACTCTTTAAAATTTACAATGCGTCAACTTGATGCTAAAAACTATGCCCCTGCGTGGGTGGTAACTGAAATCAAAGAACTAACTAAAGATTTGAATATATGTACAAGTTATCGAACTAAACTCTACAGGGGTTACAACTAGTGGCAGCAAGTAAATGCAATTAAGCCATGCAAACCAACAATAACTCTGGGAGCAGAGGCTTAAGCAGCAGAGCTGACGGCAATAGTCTAACTTTTCTTCTTTCTTACTGAACCTTGGTTTTAAACCTCTTTCTTTAAGGTAGAATTTGTATTCCTTCACACATGCTACCAAATTTAAATATTCTAGCATTGACAATTAGGGGAATGAAGGCTTATAGGAAAGAATAACAAATTAAATTAAATTGATTATTTAAAATAAATATAAACACTGCAATTCTTTATTTCTATTTTCAGAGAGGAAACATGTTTCAGAAAATGACATGTTCAGTAGATGATATTACTACCACAAACAAAATAGATTATTTTAGCTTTGCAATCCCCTGCTAAATATTTTGACCGTAGACAATTTTTTTTAAACAATTAAAATGAACCATTTAAAACACACCAAATTTTGTTAAAACAGCTTTCTTTTCATCTAAATTTTAAGCTATGTTTCGTCATTACTTTGTGATTTATTACAAAAAGTTTTTTTTTTTTTTTTTTTTTTTTTTTTTTTCCCTCCCTTCTTTTAATATGTATGTTACTTGGAAAGTGTGTAGGTATTTGGTATGAAAATTTAACACTTTGATGATTGATTGATTCATAGCTTTATTTCTTTCATGTGATGCCATTGCTTTCGATAAGTATTCCATTAGATCATTTGTATCGAAACTTGATTCTGTGCATTCAGTTTTATTAAATTCAAAACCTAAATTGTGTGATAATAATTTCAGAAACAAATGACAAGATTGAAGATCTGAAATTTTCAGAAGCAGCTCCCGAAGCTTCTAAACTTAGCATTTATGACCAATACCTCTCGAATAAGCCCACCAGCGGCCAAGCAGTAAAGTCGCTGAACACTGGTAGTTCGGTCCGAGGTTTGAATCCCGCAAACGGGGCTGGCAGCATAGGCGCTTTTGTGATTTTCCCTTAGAAAGTCCTCCATGAAGGCATCCCTCCTCTTAAGCAGATAGCCCTCGAGGGTTTGCAATAATCACACACACACACCCACCTCTCGAATAAATAAGGAACGCTATTATGTTATTTGAACTTTCCATGTTTAATAAATTGCTCTTATGTGCATTTGAATTTTTTTACCAAATTATTCCTTTAACAATTTTTTAGCTAAATTATAATTTTCATATGAAGCAAATAATCCCTTGATAGTGCATGCAGTAGTACCTTTTAAATCAGCTTTCAAATAGTTGAACTTCCCCCCCCCCCAGCAGTTTATTTTTACATGTAGCTCATCCATAGGAATTTCCAAAAACTAAGCCACTGGCTGCATCTGTATAAAATTTTAGAATGGATAATTTAGGAACTTCACGTTGACAGCTTTGTTCACAATTTTTTCAAATTTTCCTTCGCAATTTTAAGAAGTTTCTACGATTTCTTTTTAATTCATCTAATTTTAGATTTTGTTCTAATACTGTATCTGTATGTTTCAAGGTTTCAGATTTATCATTCAACTGGAAGCTATTTCCCAATTTAATTTTCTTATAACACTTTGTTACGACAATTCTTAAAAATTCAAGTTTATTCTTTAATATATTGATAGTTTCTTCTGCCATTTTTTTTAATATTATCATGAAAAATAATTATCTAAATGTCTTTGACACTTCATTTTCAAAGTTTCTCTTATGCACACATTTCTCTTATTCTCACAGCAATACCATTTATTTTTGCATATCAGTTAAATATTCTATATATATAAGTAATATCATTTACGTCATTTTTCTATGTAAATCTTCATTTAATTGGGTTGTGTATATTTATATGTGCTAAACGAAACAACGCTACTGACGAAATAAACTGCATTCTAATCTAACAAAAAGTATTTAAGAAATGTTTAGATATAAGAGTTATATACTTACAAGGTTCGGTATCTAATTACAATCATAACTGTATTAACACTTTACCAACCGCTAGCAGTTCAACAGCATGCACGCGTCCAACCGGCCACTCAGCCACAGATTCTCCCTGTTTTGAATAACTGTCAAGACAATCTGATAAATCATCTAAATAAAACTCTCCAGTACCATTTTTTTTATTGCTCATGGTGAACAGTACAGTGTGAAAACAGTTAAAAACAGTGTGAAAATGTGGGAGTTTATGAAGCAACGCAATTAATGCAAGTCAACCTCAATACTACTAATAAAATGATGATATAGCAAATGACAATTGTTTACCACCGTGGCTACCAATTGATTGGCTGTTTTTAGGTGGTAGCCCTGAGAAAAAAGCAATTAATAGTCTATTGGTCAGTAGGTGTTGGCAAAAAAAAGCTGATTAATAGGCGATCGTTTGGTAGGCATTGCCGATAAAAAGCTGATTAATAGGGTATCGGTTGGTAGGCGTTGGCGATAAAAAGCCGAAGAAGATTGAAATCGACGACCCTGTAAGCGTCTTGCCAGTTAAGGAAATAGGAAGAAATTGTAGGGTGCGAGATCAGGGAAGTATGAAGGATGAGGCAGAGCAGTTTTCATTTTTGCAAGAAAGTCATTGACGAGTAAAGATCGGTGAGCATGAATGTTGTCATACAACAGCACCAATGACTGTTCAGCCCACATATTTGGTCTCTTCTTCCATATCAACTCACACAAACAACGCAGGATTTCGATGTAGAGTTCTTTGTTCACAGTGTGTCCTTCAGGGATAAATTCCAGATGCACAATGCCCTGAATATCGAAGAATACCTCTAGAGTGTTCTTGGCAGAATTTCTGCTTCTGTGGAGATTGGGGTGATTTTCATGTTGCTGATGTTCTCTTGCTTTGCTGGTCGTTCAAAAAACACCATTTCTCATCTCCAGTAAATAGGAGACAGAATAGGGAAAGATCTTTGTCAACAGCCCAGATTAAGTCTTCTGCCATTTCCATTCGAATTCCCTTTTGGTCTCTGTTTAACGTGTGAGAAACAATGTGTTAACACACCCTATGCATGTTAAGATCTTTAGTCAGTATCCACTAACATGTGGCTTCTGCTATTTGGCAAATTTTTTGCTGCCTGTTGGCACGTACCACCACAGACACCTTTTTGATGTTTTCATCGGTGTGTGAAGTGACGGGACGGCCACACTGCTCATCTTCTTCAGCACTTTCCCTGCCTTCTCTGAAATGTCAATGCCACTCAAAAGCTTGCATTCTCGATAATGTTTTCACTTCTGTACACATACTTCAACATTTCAAAAGTCTCCGTAGTACTCCATCTCAAACGAACACAAAATTTGATATTGATTATCTGTTCAGCTGACGTCATTTCTTTCTATCGCTGTTACTAAATGCACCTGCCTACAAAAAACACTGTCATGCAAGCTTTCGACCATGTGATTTGGGACAAAACACTTTTCATAGAAAAGGGGGAGAACGTAATAACACAAAAACATTCTTGTAGTTGCACTACTGCAAAAAATTTTACATTATATACTCAGTCTGAGGACTTTTAAATCCTACAACATATTTAAAAAAATAATTAAAGACAGTATTTAAATCAAATTAGGAATATTTCAGTACTGCTCTTGGTGGTATGGGAATCTTGAGGACTTTTATTTTTTATTATTGTTGTCCCCCCCTCATTTCATGACCTACTCATAACTGTTTAATTTTGACTAACAAATGTATCATTACTTTTCTCAGTTAAAGTTGCAAAGGTACAGTTTTTGTGATTAAAACTATTTAATATTTCTTTTAGAAAGCTTCTGTAGTAGGCTAAAAAAAAAAAAAAAAAAAAAAAGAGGTATATCTTATTGATTTATTGTAATTACTTTACTCTGTGTATTTTGTATAAACAGGCTAGCCTAGTAATATTAAAATTAAAGTATCTTACGTGAAGGAATTTCTAAAAATTTTGAGTTAACATGTTAAACCTTTTACTGTATAAATGTGTGAAATTATTATTAATATTTCAAGATGAAATATTTTATATTGCATTTTACTGTTTTATGTTATTATTATTTATAGTAATGTATGTGAAAATTACTAGTTTATTTTCATTGTTGTCTACAAATATGAATATCTATTTATCATGATACAGTACTATAATTGCATTTGCTATTAATAATAGTATGAGTGTGTAAATGTTTTTAATTTTAAAATATTTTATTTTAAAATATTCCAATAAATTGTAATCAATATAATTTTAACTTACATTCCTGTAATACATATTGAAGTTTTTTGTAATTAATACAATTTTTTTTTCTTTTTGCTAATGTAAATGCAAGGACATTATATGTATTATAATATTTATTGCATATATTTGATTTAGGATGCTGTATTGAGCCTAATGGATTCTGATCCTAAACTTCCGCATGATCATCCTCTTTTAACATACCAGTATTCAGGTGAGATTTCTAGCATTTGAAAGAATTCTTCAAAACAGTAATATAAAATTTTGCACATCATAATTATTGTGCTAAAAACAAAAACTTGTATTTTTTAGAAATTGGCAGGATGTAAAATTTCATTTGGTGTAACCTTTCTTAATATGAAAAAAATGCTGTGAAACCAGAATAAAAACTGGATAAGAAAAAAATCAGAAAAGTAATTATAGTGCAGGTGGTAAAAATAATTGTAAATGTGACTAAAAGCCAAGTCAGAGTTGGGCAAGTGAGGCACTTAGATATATATATATATATATATATATATATAAAAAAAAAAAAATAGAGAAATTTCACAACTTAATACCGATGTGGAAATGATAAATAGAAGTTTCTTCTTGCATATCAACTATTATTGATAACTTTGACTGGCATCAAAGTATAGCACAACTTTTCAATAAATGTTTGCTTTATTATTGCAGAAATGTCACTTTTCATGTTGTTCATTATTCAGGGTTCATACAGTCCTTAAGAGTCCTTAAAAGTCCTTAGATTTTTTGGAATCAATTTTTGGTCTTTAAAAGTCCTTAATTTTTGCCAATTCAGCAAAAGGTCCTTAATTTTAATCATCTGAAATTTCTGTCTGTTTTTACGATTGCCATTTTGAGTGTAAATTAGCATTTTGAAGGAATATTTTTGGCGATTCACTGACGTATATGGTTATCTTTTGAATGGTTTCATGGGTTCTAGTTTGTTTCTATTTCTAATATAAATGATGGGATACTCGAGGTTTCTGAGCAAGAAGTGAAACATAAGCATAACGAAATTCAATTTTTCTAATAAAGAGCCCATAAACAACTTTTCGCTTTTGGTGATAGGAATTCTTTTGTTAAATGGTTCTAAATTTGGCAACTTATCAAAATTTTGGCAATTTTAAAATCAGTTTCTATAGAAAATTTTTAATTACGAGATCTGAGAATTTTTCGATGATTTTTTTTAAAACATCATAATATTGATAAATTTTATTAAAATAATGGCAATATATTGAAATTATATTAAATAAACATTAAAATAAAACATTTTTATTTTCCACTGTCATATTATAAAGTTTCATTTTGGCAACTTATTATACAATATTTTGAATCTGAAAATAAACAAGGTATAATGCTATAAAGCACAATTTAATGAAACAGCAGTCTTAGCAAAAGCAAAATTATCTATGTAGTTAATTAAAAATTTTTTTTTTTTATTTTTTCATAGTAAGAGTTTTTCCCATGTATTAGAGTATTCGTCTCAGAGTATTTAGAATTCTCAGAATGTGCATCAGTTATCTCTATAAAATTAATTTTACACTTTTTTTTTTCCCTCCCCCCTTTTTTTCCCCCCCCCCTTCCCCCCCAAACTATTTCTCCCCAAAAAAAAATATTTCTGGCCTTTTGCTGTTACAGAATTGGTAGGGATAGTTTTTTAGGATTTTAGACATTGCAGCTTGGAAAGTTTAGAAGGATTTGAAGGCAAGATTTATAGAGCCATGATTCTAGAAGATTCGAGAAATATGTGACAAAATGAAAAATGTTTCCATGGTATCAACACGTAATGGATGTATTTTACAGAAAGTTTGCAATGAATTTCTTACTTTTTGGAGAACATCTGGAAGAACAATGAAAACATAATATTTGAATGTTTTACTTCTGATACTAGAATCTTAACATGTTTGTCTTCCCTTTATTTTCTCTACTTTTCACTAAACACAAGCATGGAAAATATCAAAAATGCATCTAATCTTATCACATGGGTAGGCATTGTATAAAGGGATTTTTTTTTAATTAATAAAGAAATTGTAAATGTAAAAGATTAATCTAATATGTCTTAATGCACCATACACATAGCTGGCACTAGGGATTTCTAAATGCTTCCAATGCCAGCTCTAAATTCTAAAAGTTTTGCCATTTCTAGGTTTTGTTATTCAGTGTGTCATTCAATTATAAAAATTCTGCCACATCAGCTCTGTAACTGGCCTTTACCATATATATTTCATATTTCTTCTGAATATTGAATATTCATATTACTAAAGAAATAAAACTAGCCGCTTTTTCTGTACATTCTAAATGCATTTACTGTTTTTTAGAATAACAGAAATCCTTAATTAAATTCTAAAATGAAAAGGAAACGTGTTGAAGAAAGAAACTGAATACATAAAGAAAATTATTCTTCAAAGATACAGTGGATGGACAAAAATATGGAAACACCTTGTGAAATGCATGTTTGAAAAGAAAGATTGATTTTAATGAAATATGTAGGTGGCGCTGGTGTTTTTGACTACTGACGCCACCTATACAACTTCGTAAATAAGCTAAACAGTTCAGTCGTTGTCGGAGTACTGTTATGTGAGGTTGTCATTACATTATGTCAGAGTTAACAGACTTCAAACGTGGGCAAATTGTTGGAGCACATATGGTAGGTGCTTCCGTAAGCAAGGTAGCCGAGGTGTTTAGTGTTTCAAGAGGTACCGTATCGAAGATTTATTCCGCATATTTGAAAAGTGGAAAAACATCATCTGCTAAATCACAGCGCGGACGAAAGTGTGTCCCGAGTGATCGTGACAGACGATCATTAAGGACAATTGTGACGAAAAATAAGAAGACCACAGCTGCAAAAGTTACTGCTGAAATGAATGTTGTGTTACCGAACCCTGTGAGTACCAAAACAATTAGAAGGGAGCTTCATTAAACAGTAAACAGTGAATTGCTGGCCGTGCTGCAATTGAGAAGCCACTCATCAGTGATGCTAATGCCCGTAACAGGAAAAGGTGGTGTTTAAGTTATAAAGCCTGGACTATAGAGCAGTGGGAAGCGAGTAATATGGTCTGATGACGAGTCTTCTTTCACATTGTTTCCCACTTTTTCCCACTTCTGGCCGAGTTTACGTCTGGAGAACGCCATCTCAAGCCTATAATACAGACTGCTTGTTGCCAAGAGTGAAACATGGCGGGTGTTTGTTATATGGTTTGGGCAGCCATATCGTGGTTCTCTGCTAGCCCCATGATAACTGTGTCAGGGCACATGACTGCCAAGACTTATGTGAACATTTTGGCCGATCAAGTTCATCCCATGGTACAAACTTTGTTCCCCGATGGTGATGGTGTCTTCCAAGACGACAAAGCCCCTGTTCACACAGCTCACATTGTCCAGGACTGGTTTTCTGAGCACGAGGATGAGTTGTCCCATCTCCCCAGGCCACCACAGTCACCAGACCTGAATATCATCGAACCTTTGTGGTCTACATTGGAACGGTAAGTGCGTTCTCATTATCCACCGCCAACATCGTTATCTGAACTTGCCACCGTTTTGCAGGAAGAATGGTATAATATTTCCTTGGCAAACATACAGGAACTGTATTTATCCATTCCGAGAAGACTGCAAGCTGTTTTGGATGCCAACGGGTTTCCTACACTATATTAAGCAAAGAAACATGTTTTTTTAAAGGTGTTTCCATATTTTTGTTCCAACCCCTGTATGTGCAGTTATTACTATGTAAATTACCCAATTATTTATGATTTCAGCCTTTACTATAATTTCTCATTTCTATTTCCTCATATGATAGAGTTACTGAGCCAGATTAAATTAAAATTAAATTGTATAATCTTTGACCACTAGTCAACATTTTTAGTTAGAATTTGACTGTTCTTGTTTAATTATGTCACTGTGAGCTGTAATTGATTTTGTTAGCATCAGAACATGTCTTTATCTTTTAAGTTCTTTTTAAATAAGAGGCTTATTTAAACCTTTGTCTGATACTGTAGTCACTTTCAGACATAGCGATCATATGCTTCACGTCTGTCGGGGTTTTGGACTATTTAACTTTTACCAGATTAAGTAAACTCTCATAAGTACATTGTGGAGAGGTTGACAAGTTAGGAGAGAAGGCATGCAGAAACTAGCAAGAGCACTGGTTTGCATATTGAAACAAATCTCTAGTTGTTAGAAAAGAAGCTTAAAGAGGAGGAAATCAATATAAACTAGCCAAAGTGTCTGGAAAGGCTTCAAATTAAAATGACGGATAAGTATTTTGTTGAGTGTTGTTGTTACAAAACATAGATGTTTTGTAGCTTTTAATGTGTAATTATCCTAAGAATGTCATAAATTACCTTGTATTTTAAACTGTGAAATTTTATTATATTTTGATTTTAACAGGGTTTTTTTAATAAATATTGTTAAAAAATAAAATTTAATAGTGGCCATGTAAATCCATAATTACTAAGGTTATTAAACTACTTAATTTAATTATTTATAACTAACTGTTTACCCTTAAAAAGCCTTTCACTAACACTCACTGTGGTCACAAGATAAACTACAAAAATGTAAAAATTCAAGTAAAACTTTCTCTTTGCATCTAGTCAGACTTAAAATAATACAAAACAACTTATGACCTGTGGTGCTTTAATGGCTTATTGGAAACCTAAAGTATATTTAACTGGGTTACAATCCCTGGAACTCTACATAAAGCTATGACACTAACTGCATCAAAAAGAGCCTGACTGACTTTCAACACTTGCCAACCGTGCCTACATCAGGCCTTTCAGGTTTGTTGAAATCAGCAGGTCTTTCTCTAAAGTTTATTTTATTCTCAAACTTATTAATAATTTTGTTAATTCATGTTTAGTAATAATGTATAATACTTAGGGATCGATTTTATTTTTAGGATGGTATTATAAAAGTGAAATTCAGGCATAGATAATATTTTAAATTGAATTTATTCAGTTTTCATTTGCTCATAGGTCCTTAATTTTTTTCATTAATAGTCCTTAAAAGTACTGAATCTCTGTGTGCAGAAATGTGTACGAACCCTGTTATTGCTTTTCCATCTTAACTTCATGGCTGCTTTAGTGCCTGACTTGGAATTTTCTGTATTTTTATTTTCGTGATAAGATTCGGGAATTCACAAAATAGTGAACTACAATTTGTCTGTCTTCCCACCCCTCAGTGCAGATCAATTATGCAGTTAAAAAAATGTTCGGATTCCCA